ATTGTACCTTTCTCGTCTAGCGCGTGCAACAACGTATTTTTAGAGGAGATGGCAGAACTCTGCCTGAATCAAGTTAATGTACTTCGCAATAATCATTGTCAATGATGTTCCATGATACATTTGGTAAATTAAAGTCACCCAACACAATCAATGAATCAGAGGGTTTAATCATTGAATTAATTGATTTCAGTAAAGATACATGTTGTGAATACACTGATAAGTCAGATCGGGGAGGAATATAGCATAGAGCTAAGTAAGTAAACCCCCTTCCAACCTGAACACGAATGCATTTGAATTCTGCAGATTCAATGTGTGGAAGACTAACTTCTTCAGATGGTATTGAAGAGTCTACGGCAAAGAGTACGCCACCGCCGACTCTGTCCTCCCGATCTTTTCTGTAGATATGATAATTATTTGATGCGAAGCAATCCGGCTGCAAGGAGTTGCTCCATGGACGAACAATAATTGAGGGGTATCGCCGATCTAAGCGGGGTTAGGTCGCCGAAACAACAGCCCTTGGTCGGGTAAAACCCGAGACATTCCGGTACGTAGAACCGGCTGTCTTGGGAATGTATGTTTTGTGATCATATGTTTTCGTGTTGGATAATTTTTGCTGACTAAAATTTTGCCAGTGCAAAATGAACGCTTCTTTTGCATCAAAATGAATGCTTGCTCTCTCAAATTTTGTGTGTTGGATAATTTTTTGTCGTTATCGAACGCCATCCAGTAAAAATTTGGAAAACTATTACAAATTTTTGACTTGTCGAACGCACCTATAATCATGTCTATTTCTTAATTTGTTTCTTCATATAAATCTAATCACACAACTTCTTAAAATTTTATCTTTATGATACAGTCACCGACGAACACTCATCGTGAACGGTCGCTATCTATTTCGCTGTGCTTATTGTGCCTACCAACTACATACATACTTGTGTGTTGTTTTTTCTTTACGCTCATTAAGTTATTTCTTTTCTTTTGTGCGCTACTTTTTGTTGCTACTTTGATAGACTAACCTAACTTAAATTCGCGTTTCTAACCACGTGTTTTTCGCTATGCCCCCTGGGGCCACCAATTTTGGGGATAATAGGTACGCCCTATTATCTCCAGAGCTGAAAACTAAACGCAAAAAACCAAATTCTATTCCACTGGACCATTTTCCGGATTTACCGATTGCCAAAAAGGACGATCCAAAATATTTGATAATGTCATCGCTGGATGAGAAGAAGCCTCTCGCGTCCCTTTCGTGTTTTGCTGTATACAAAGGAATTCAAGCTATAAGTAAGGCGGTAAATAATATTTCTGAGCTCCGCGACGGCAGTCTTCTGTTACTGGTGAATAACCCAAAAACTGCGGAAAAATTCCTGTCTGCCAAACTGCTACCCGGATCCGGCCCAATCAATGTCAAGCTTCACAGTTCTCTAAATTCGGTTAAAGGGACCATTTATGCTCCTTTTCTCTGCCAACTATCCGACGAAGAAATTGTTGAAGGTCTTAAGGATCAAGGGGTTTCCTCTGTATTTAAGTTCACACGAATTGTTGATGGCTGTCGTAAGCCTTCGGGAGCTATATTACTAACTTTTGATAAGTATAATCTACCTGAAAGAATTGAAGTCGCCTGGAGAATATTAGATGTCCGTCCGTATTTTCCTAATCCTATGCGGTGTAAGCTTTGTCAAATCCTAGGACACACTGCCAAACATTGCCGTAATTCTCCTGCCTGTGCCACATGCAATCTTCCTCCTGATCACACCTCCCCAACAGACTGCTCAAGAATATTCTGTGCCAACTGTTCAGGTAATCACCCTTCGTCCTCCAACGTTTGCCCCAAATTTCAGCAGTCTAAGGAAATCCTGAAAATCAAAACTATATCTAAATGCAGTATGCGTGATGCCGTTAACAAATATAAAAATCAGCTCCCCTCCACTCCTAATCCTAATTCGTTTGCCAACATAGCAAAAAAGCCTAACCGCAATATTAATGAAACCTCCAGCATAAACCTAACCAACAATTCATCTTCAAATATTAATTTAATAACACCTACCAAATCAACTGATACCACGAAAATAACAACTTCCCTTACTCCATCTACTCCTTCAAATTTCTCCTCCCCCTCTCCTATCTTCTCCCCTCTGTCTAGTTCTTCCCCACCCGAAAATCTTTCCCTCTCATTAAATACTAACCTTAACCTTCCCTCGATTTCGCAAGTTTCTCCTCTTTCAGATGCTCATAGTTCACCTACATCATTATTTACAAATCAGTAAAATATTCATATCCTAATACATAGTAATGTTAACTAGTACATACATATCTACATATATATTTTTTCTTTTACATGCACTCCAATTATTTTGATATCTCGTATGATCTCTTTTCTTCAGTGGAATATTAACGGTTATTTTAATAATTATGTTAATCTTGAGTTGTTAATAAAAACCCTTAACCCATCTGTGGTGCTTCTAAATGAAACTCACTTAGCCAGTGGCGTGTCAGCACATACCCCTAAAGCCTACATAGGTTATTTCTATAATCTCCCTCACAATGCTATTTCCAAACAAGGTATTGCTATCCTTGTGAAGAGAAACCTCCCCCACATTCCCATTCCCCTCCCCCTTTCCATTATTGCCTCGCTAGCAATAGAAATTCAAACCCCAAATAAAATTTCAATAGCCTGTGCTTACTGTCCTCCTAACCAATTTTTCACAACTACAGACTTTACTAATCTTTTTCCACCAGGCCCTCACCCCTTTATTTTGGCTGGCGACTTCAACGCTTGGAGTCCACTTTGGGGTTCTGTTTCGGCGAATGCCAGAGGACATGCCATTGAAGACGCCATTTTAATCTCCAACAGTGTTATTTTAAATGATGGATCCCCTACCCACTTCTCCACCCATAATACCTTGACCCATATTGATCTTACCCTCTGCTCTGCATCCCTGTCCCCCAAAGTATCATGGCGCCTCTTAGATGACCTTCATTGTAGTGACCATTTTCCTATTGTTTTCACTATCCCTTCCCGTCCTTTAAATTTTTTCAAACCTAGGGTCTACTTCAAAACTGACTTAGCTGACTGGGCAAAATTTGAAGACGCCTGCGAAACATTTTCTTGCTACTTTCCTGTTTCGTCTAACATCAATCAGGAAACATCCTGCATTCAAAAAATCATTCGCTCTGCAGCCAACAAAGCCATCCCACTTACACCAACTAGACCAATCCGACCAAGTCCGTTATGGTGGAGCAGTGAACTTTCAAAATTAAGAGAGAGCAAACAACATGCGTGGCGTCAGTTCAAGCGCAATCATACCTCCACAAACCTCATTATGTACAAGAAAGCCAATGCGCTTTTTCGCCGTAGTGCTAAAGCTGCCAAGGTCGCATGCTTCAAAAAATTTACCAGCACCATTACTGCCTCTTCTAGTACTAAAAAAGTTTGGGCTGACATAAGAAAGCTTACAGGACTACCCTCGCATTCCCCTCTCTCCTTCCTAAAATCCCCGAATGGCAATCTACTATATCCTCGTGATATAGCTCTAGAATTGGCCTCTCATTTTTCCAACTCCTCTTCTGATTCCAATTTTCCTCCTGAATTTACAGCTAGTAAGCTTGCCATACTCCGCACTCCTCGCCCATCCCCTAATGGACTGACGTCGTCGGCTAGACAATTGGATGCTGATCTTACCTTGCTGGAACTACGATCTGCCCTTTCGGCGGTTAAAGGTAGAACCCCGGGTTTTGATAAAATTTCATACCCCATTATAAATCATCTTCCTATGCCCTTTATTTCTCGCCTTCTCAGACATTATAATAACATATTTAAAACAGGCCACTATCCCCATCTTTGGAAAACTAGTTCAGTCATTCCCATTTTAAAAGTTGGCAAACCCTCGTCTGAAGTTAACAGTTATCGTCCCATATCTCTGCTCCCTTGCTTGGGAAAACTGTTAGAGAAAATTATTGCTACCAGACTTTCATGGTTTGTAAACTCAAACAAATTCATTCATCACAACCAGGTTGCTTTTAAGAAAGGTCAGGGTACGCTTGATGCCCTCTTACATCTTGACCACGTTATTTCTGATGTCCTTTCCTGTAGGAATCATATATCTTTGCTATCACTGGATTTTTTAAAAGCTTTCGATCGCATTGGAATCCATGTAGTTTTAAGACAACTAGATAAATGGAAGGTTGGGCCGAGAATCTACAATTTTATAAAATCCTTCCTGTCCAATCGTAAGGTTAGTGTTCTAATTTCCAACATCCGTTCTCCTATCTTATCCCTTGATAACGGCACACCGCAGGGTTCTCCCCTTTCTGTTATTCTTTTCAAAATAGCTTTCGATGAACTCAGTGTAATTTTCTCGGATTTTCCGACGGTTTCCCATCAAATATATGCTGATGACGTATTATTATTTTCTAAAAGCTCTGACTTGCACACAGTAATGTCTACTTTTTCAAATATCCTATCTCGAATTTCCCATTGGTCCCTTTCTTCAGGCGCTTCTATTTCTTCTAGTAAATCTAAATTACTCCATATTTGTAAGAAACGTAGTTGTTCTATTCCTTTGTTAAATTTTAATGGTGTAAACATTATTTGTGAAGATTCACTTAAGTTTTTAGGTTTAGTATTAGATTCTAAGTATTCTTTCAAAGAACACTGTAAATACGTAAGACAAAAGCTATATGTTAAGTTAAATATTCTTAAATATCTATCTTGTAAACGCTCCTTCATCGGCTCGGACTTACTGATCAATGTCACTAAGGCTCTCATCTCTTCTATTGTCAACTATGGTTTGGAAATATATGGGCTGCATGCTAAAAACCACCTCAAGATGTTGGCTGCACCTTACCACACTGCAGTCCGCCGTTCTATACGTGCATTTCCCACGTCGCCCATCAAAAACATTCTGGCAGAAGCAGGTCTACCTTGCCTTTTCGACAACATGGAAGACAGTATAAGAAAACTTTATCCCAAGCTCATGCTCACATCCAACATCTTTCTGAGAAAGGATTTTCATTCGGCAACATCACGCACTCGAACACCTAAAATATCTTCAGCTATCTACATGTGTTCTATCTACGCAAAAGAGAATTGCTTGCCGGCCAAATTATCGCTACCAAGATACAATCTTCGTCCTCCTTGGTTGCTAAATAAATCTTCTTTGATAAACGATTTAAGCTATTTCCAAAAGTCCAACACCACATCTGCTGAATACAATGCTTGTTTTTTGGATATATCAACTCGTTCTAAAGCTACTGGTTGGCAACTGCTATTCACTGATGGCTCCAAGGCAGATTACACTTCATTTGCCGTTGTTAAAGAAAATGGTGAAAATATATCTTATGGTTTACTTTTTCCTTTTTGTTCTATTTTTACTGCGGAAGCTACTGCCATTCTCCACGCCGTGCAATATGCTACAAAAGCTTATGGCAAATTCATCATATGCTCGGACAGTCTATCTTGCTTCCAAGCTGTTAAAAACCTGAATAATCACAACTACATAATTGGGTGCATAAGAAATATCATGATTATCCACCCTCTCAAAATTAGGCTCATGTGGGTGCCTGGGCATACTGGCATCAGCGGCAACATTTTTGCAGACAAAGCGGCAAAAGATATGAGCTTCACTCCTGTTACGACTTCTAGTCTATTTTGTAAAAATGATATCCATCGATTTATTGTGCAGCAGAGACAGGACAAGATACTTTCTGAGTGGGTGAATTACATGCATCATTATGCTAGAATCAACCCTAGCCACACCAAACCTTGCTACCCATCATCTATTCCGTCCAACTACATCACGCCTTATACGAGACTCCGTATCGGTCACAGTATCATTACGAATGCTCATCTGCTGCAAGGAACACAACCCAATTTATGCCCATTTTGCGACGCCCCAGTCAGTGTGCTACACCTATTAGTTTTCTGTCCTGAATTGGAAGTTCATAGACGGCGAAATTTTAACCATACTGATCCCTTACAGTTACTAATGAATCCTTCCCATGGTAACGTCTCTAAGATATATAAATTCCTTAAGGACTCAGATCTTCTCCGTCGTATATAATCAGTCAAGTCCTCACTGGCCAGCCGAAAGCCTATGTAGCTAGTGCTGCGTTCTTTAGTTTGTATAATAATATTGTATTTTATTATATAAGCTTTGTTAAAATAAAAAAAAAATAAATAAATCTTTATGATATAAGTTTATCAAAAACAATTTGTATACTTTAGTAATTAATACAATTAGGTACATAGATAATCAGATCAGTTATTGAAAATATTTAAAATTACATCAAGTACATAAGACAAATCATTGGCGAAAGGCAACTGCGAAATCTTTTTGGAGTCGTTTTCTTTCAGAGTCACCAGTTGTTCGTGCAATCGACGCAGATGCTTAGCCAAATTGGTGCTGCGCAATTGTGCAACATACTTAGCGCCTGCAGATGCTAATTTCCAAACTCCAACACATACAATCAATTGCTCCTCATAAGAGGCACACTGCGGTATCCCATTTGGTGTTGATGCCAAATCTAATGGTTGAGCGACAATCGCATCGACAGTGCAAACAAAATCCGAAGAAGTCATAAAAGCTGAACGGTTGTTGGGCAAGAAACACATATTACGTAGTATCCGAAGCGTGAGTACGCGTGTGGCGCTGCCGGCCGGGGCGCGTAAAATGACATCACACAAAGCGCGTAAATTGCGCGTTTGCGCACCTTCAGGGTAACGGGAAAATAACTCCCAAAATTGCAACCAAGCGCGCAGTACTTCCATTTTCACCTGTGGTGATTTCAAATGAAACGGATGCAGACTATCAAATATGTCCAGCATGTGCGCCTTAATGATGGTGACGCGACCTTCGGCACACGAGCAACAATTCATAACGACGCGCAGTCCGGTACTGATAACTGGAAAGCTCTCGGTTGTGCTAGCCTTGACACGCGTTGTTTCCGCTATAACCAACTTGATAACTAACTGCAGCAATGAATGCGCATATCCGGAAAACAGTACAGAAAACTGTTGGCTCACAATAAAAGAATGTTCGCTATGAAAGCTGCACACCTGCAATACTAGCTGCTTTAATTCGCAGGAATGTGCTAGAAACGGCCACAGCTGCATCGTAAGCTTGGAGAGAGTGATGCTCTGTAAGTTATCAGTGAGCGCTGCATCCGGCGCTGCAAACCAATGTGAGTGCACGCTGAGCAGCAGTTGTAAATTTTTAATCAGTGCCAGTTTCTTGTTCTCCCCATATCGGCGCACATACGTGGTAGCAGAGCACTTGAACTGCTCAAAAAACGTATTAAAAATCTGCGACATTTTGTCAAAAAGTTTCAGACCCTTAGCTGCTAACCTCGCTTCAGGGGAAAGACTCAGTAGAACGCCCAATGTTTCGCTAACTTGTACTTGTGTTTTGGATGGTGCAACATCAAATTTGCAAGCCGCTCTTGTATAGAGGTGCTGAAAGAGAAGGAACAACTGGACAAAAATAAAGGCAGCTGCAGATTTGGTAACTATTCTAAACAATGAATCACAGGCGCTTAAATTGTCACTGCTACTGTTGCTCTTTTTGCCATTTACCATTTCGTTTATACTTGCTGATTTGCCCGTAATGTGGTTGTCCTTTGCGAAGGTTGGATCTTTTATTTCAATATCGTCTTCCAGCACCGTCAGAAATGTCTTTTGCTCATCATGCATTTGACGTCTGTTGTGCGATTTAATTAACAATAAACTAAGCGCTGCTAAAGAACATCTTTGCAAGGGAGTGTTGAGATTCTTGATGGTAAAAGCGCGCAAAAAATTTCTCACAAGAAATTCAGGGGCTTTGGCAATATTTCGACATAACTTCTCAAAGGCCAAGTCGTCTTTGCATATAACTAAGAGCAGCTGTAATATATTGACTACAACATCAGACTCAAGTGGTTGGTCGAGCAGCTGATAAAAGCTGATTAGCCATACTTGATCCCGACACAAAATGCGTTGCAGAAAAGAAAAATTCGATGGGTAACAAGCGCCGTACAAGTGACAAATATCACCACACATTGTATAGTAAGCAGGGTTGGAGTGCTCCGGTGATATCTTCAGCAACTCATACAATCTGGTCAAAAAATTGCTCGCACATAGCACTGTTGCGAAATCGCCGTTCAACTGCAACATTCTTAAACAAATTCGACAAAGAAAACCAATCAAACCGCAATTGGCTATGCTGATTCCAGAATTGGCATCAATGTGCGGGGGTAATTGTTGGCCAAATACACAGCAGCCACGTACAGCTTCACTAGCAAATTCGAGGAATCTATGCCTGGTAAGCAAGACGTTTGCATCTTCAAATTTATCCTTATCACTGAGAAGCTTAGTAAACAAATTGGCCGCTAACTGACGCACCCCAATTGTTTCGCCGACATCTAGAAAAGTGCACAAACAGCATGCCATAAAGCCTCCAGGAAGATAAAATAAGGTATTTTGCAGCAAGTCAACACCTTTTGCTAGAGAACTTTTTGTATCTTGTTGGGAATTAAAGTGCGACACGTACGTAAGAATACACCAGGCCAGTGCGCGCACCGCTTGATCGCAGTGACCGCATAAGCCACTCAAATACTTTAATGTGGACTCACTGAGCTTAAAACTGGTTTCGGCTTCTCTCATTTGTCCATATAATTGACAAACAATGGTAAGACAATCAATCTGCCATTGCGCGCCTGTCTGAGTGAAGGACTTCAAAGCAAGCGATAATTTGATGAAATGCTTGCAGTAAGACACGAGCTGCTCATCGGAAACATTTATATCGTAAGCGCTGAGTATTTTTTGTAAATCCAATAAGCTACGTATGCGTAACAGATCCCGTTTTTGGAAATATTGCATTATCAGCTGGAAGATCAATTCAAATAGGTTGCTATTAAAAATGCAAATACCTTCATCGGCGTGTTTTACGGGTTTGACTGCTGCTATTACCTTTCCCAGTAAACTACACAATTTATGATTCAAGCGTAGAGGTGTCGCCGATACCTTAAGAAGTGATATCATAGCGTGTTGGAAGTCTGCAATAAGTTCTTTTAATAAGCGCGTACATATTATGGGTATGGAGAGTCGTACACAAAAATCGCAAAGATCGAGCAATTCTTCGAAAAGTTCATAATCAGTTTCATTGCCCGGCGAGAGCTGCAAGTACTTGCCAATTATACTATATAGCTCGTCAGCAACTTCATCGGGCATCAACGCTCCTGCAGTAGAGTGCTGATCACGCACCATTAGCTGTAGTTGCAGTGAAACACATGCATTAATTAACGAATTGTGACTTGTTGCATTTAGAATCGCCCGTAAAAACCGATGTATATTTTGTTTTGGTATTGTAGCATTCATTAGACGCCAATCGCGCAACGTCAAATGTAACCCTACATCGAGATTGTAACTCTTTTGTTTCTCCAAGTATTGCTTGGGTATAGGAAGTTGCTGGTTGCAAAAGTTAAAAGCCAATAACTGTCGAATATATGAATTTTCTTCTAATTTGCTTTTGAAAGTACCATCGTAGTGATGAAGGGACATATCTCTTTTCTTAATTGCCTGCAACTCACAACTCAATGGTATTTGTAAATTTCCCAACGACTTGGGAGCCTCAATTCGCTGATTACCCAACACCACAACATAGTTGGCATATAGTAGTAAAAAAAGACAAATACATGCATCTTGACGCATTTGTATTTCGTTCTGGTAAAGACAAAGTGCACGCAGTAGTAAAACATATATATTTGGCGTATCGGAAAGTTCGCACCGCAACCCAGTATCATAGAGCAAAACTTTGCATAGCACACCGATAGCGGGGACCGCCGCTCCAGTATAATCTTCGCACGATTCAACCACCATCGAGTTTTCGAGCGCTCGCAGTATCAAATAGTGCGCACTTTCCTCACAGAAAGCAGATAGAGTGTGCCATTGTTGGCACATAACATTTAGCTGCATTAGCGTCGTTTTACGCACTACAGGCTCCACATCGGACATCTCCAATATACTCAACAAATTAAGCAGTGTATCCCGCTCACAAAAATCTGTGACATTAATAAAGATCCGGGTATATTCTCGAGGTGTTTTCAAAATACATAAATCGTTGGGTATAACATCACTTATATAAAGCAGATTCGGTATATACTTGTCAGCATCCGGCACTGAATTCATGATGTATATAAGGCGTGTCAACGCTTCACTGCGTACGGCGCTATCACGGTGAAACATGAATCCTATGCTGCCTTTCAAAACCGCCAAAAATGGCAACTGCTTAGCATCAGGATCAAGTAAATTTTGCAAAAGTTCTATTATCTGTGGCGAATTTGTGCAGCATTGCAACAAAGGCAAGACCGGCAACAATAATTCCAACAGTTTAGTCCAATGTTCTCCCAAAAGTTTCTGAGATTTCAATATAAATACAAGAACGTCTTGGCTAATTTTGCGAATACTTTCGTGGGCTCCTTCGGTGCATTCGTAGATGAGATTGAGCAAAAGTTCACCGCTCAGCGGCACTCCCAACACTTGAGCTTCCAACAATTGTCCATGAGTTAGACCCATACTGTAGCACTCACATTCCATTAGGGCAGCAAAATGTCGTTTTACAGACATTGCAAGCATTTTGAAGATGTGCAACCTTAGTGGTTCATGTGTAAGATGCAGTAGTCGAAGTAAAAGTTCATCAGCTTTAGCGCGTAAGTTTGGCTGCGAAATATAGTGTGCATTACAATTGACAATCGCATTGAATGTTAGTTCTGCTAGCTGTATATTTTTTAAATTTTCCAACCCTTCAAAAATATCTAGTCCATTTTCTATAATATCTGCACTCACGATGGCTTGAGGATTTTTTAATAAAGTAACTGTAGTACGAATAACACCATCTAATTCCCGAAGTCGTTTAGATCCACCAACAGCATTTAAATAGCGCTGTTGAATGTTTTTGTACCGATTCGGAAAATTTTCTTTAAAGGAAAAATCGCACAAGAGGAACTCCAATACTTGTGGAATTCCTTTACAAGATCCCATTTTCATATTATGCTGCATAATATCGTCCAATAAGCATACAAGCAAGAGGTATTTAATGCGTTGTAAGG